GATGCCTGGCTTTCAAACTGGGGCAAGAACTGAGCCAGCCCTGGCTTTATGACCCTGAAGGCTTGATTTAAAGGTGCTGTGACTGAAAGTCAAAGATATAAATAATTTGAACCAAATTATTAGCACCAAGTCCAAGTGCTGATCCAGGACTAACATACAGTGCGGTCCCATTGTCATGGTACACTTCCTGGTACCGCTGAAACAGAATTCACAGCACATCAGTGATGCTGTTGAAGCTATTTCTCCTCAAATTTAAATGTTTTATTTGTCAGTTTTCAGATTCTTCAGGCTATTTCATGCATAAATTTTTGTAGTAGAGTTGTTCACCTACTGTGTTAGAATTCCCTGACAGTGCTGAATTTCAGGAGCATAATTTTTGTGTTGCAAAATTCTCTAAGTTATTTCTAACAGAAGCAATAGATTTGTATTTTATGCTTTCAAGAGTGCTGTCTTTCCTTAACCTGCTCACTGCTGAGTTGCATGACGTGAATGCAAAATTTAGAAGCAACAAAAAACTTTGAACCAAAAGCAAAGTTGTTAGTTGATTTAGAAAAGTACAGATATGTGACATAGGATGCATTATCTGAAATTTACATCACATAAACAAATGGCTTTTTACCTTGGAGTGAGAAAAAGTGTTGTTACTACAATGATTTTTAGAGTTCCTGCCTGATAATTAGTCTAACGCTCTGTCTCTTCTTCCTTCCCTCCTTCCTTCCCTCCTTCTTGCCCTCCTTCCTTCCCTCCTTCTTGCCCTCCTTCCTTCCTTCCTTCTCTTCTTCCTTCCTTCGTTCCTTCCTTTCTTCCTTCCTTCTTTCCTTCCTTCCTTCCTTCCCTCCTCTCTCGCTCCTTCCCTCCCTCCCTCCCACATTTTTGGATTACAGAGGCATTTTGAGCATGTGTGCATTGATTGAGCATTAGAAATCCATGTGTTACCATTTTCATTAGTTTGTGAGGTGTGAAGGAAACATTCCTTTCTGAAAAAAAAACCAAAACTGTAATGCATTCAGGAGGTATCATCATCCTAATAGTACTCTCAGTGTAGCACATACCATATAGGCAAATAAAGGTGTTCTCAAAAAGGTGCAATGCTAGACAGAAAGATGGACTTGCAGAAACAAATAGAAATGGGAATGTGAGGTTACTCACCCCTCTAACCACCCATTCACTCTCTGTTGTTTGCCTCTTACTGTTTTCTGAACTTCTCTTTCTTTTACAAAAGGTGTTCTGTTAGAAAGGAGTGATTCTCCTTCAAAAAAGCCATCTAGCTATTTGTTAGTTAGTCTTAGCTTATTCTTAGCTATTTTGAACCTCAGAACTAATGATTACCAGGTGGTAAGGCTTTTAGGAGTAATACAAGTCCAAGCTTCTCTTACACTTCAATAAGTATTTTGACGTAAGTACATTGCACTTAATGGATTAGTCACTGTGGTCACTGTCCCACAATCTACAGGGTAGTACTTCTCCAAATGAAATAGGCAAAACACTCTAAGAAATAAGATTATATGAAAAACTGAGTTAGAGCTAAAAAACTGCATTTGCACACGACAGATTAGGAATCCTAATAAGACAAAGGAGAAAATGAGACATTTGTGCAGAGAGCTTGTGGGCAGAACTGGCATCAAGATCTCTTGATTTCTACAGCAGTGTAATAATTGACAGAGGTATAAAACCTTTGAATATGTGCAAGAAGAATATTCTGTGTGAAAATGATAAGCAGCAGCAGATGCAAAGGGAAAATATATTAAAAGTAGGGCAATTATAAAATTATTTTTCTTTACATAGCCCTCAATCTTCTCACAGACAGCAATTCAAAGAGTCGGTCAGGTGTGTCTTCCAGAGCAGTGTGGTTTAAATACTTTGCTTAAAGACATTGATGGCCTCTTTCATTAAATTATCATTTTATTCATCTTTTAACTCATCCATGTATAATTTTCCTTTAGCACACTGTACCAATGTGTTTTGCAGTTTAAATAATACTCTAGCTAAAAGAGTTTTTTTGTTTTTACACTTGCAGTGAAATTGTTAATTTTTAACTGCTTTTATGAGAAATAGGAAATTACCATCCCTGGTCCCTCTCAACAGTGTTCATACTATTTTCTTTGTTTTTATTTTTTTCCCCCTTCTCTCTTCTCCCTTTATTTGGCAGAGTTGCCTTGTCTTTTCCCCTATTTAGTACTAAAAAATTATTTCATTCTTAAAATCATCTTTGTTGTCACTCTCTATTTTTTTATAATTATCCTATATATTTCTTAAAAGCTACTAACTAGATTCTTTCCCAATAACTTGTAAGGTTGTACTTGATTTACTGATGATATTTGGCGCCGAAATTTAGTGTTGCAGAATGACTGAGTCAGAGGCCACACTTGTGCTTTTCCATTTTATTGCCAATGTATTCAGTGTTACAGGAAGTCTGTATCTCCTAGTTACCTTTAGAAATTGTGTGTTCTGAATATTTCTGTGTGGTACAGCATCCATTTCCAGGTTGTTTTCCAGCAGGTGAAACTGCTCACAGTGCCTGTAGCCTTTTTCATGTTGTGATGTCTGCGTAATTACCTCAACACTGGTGAATGTGGAAACTCCCTTCTGTCACATGACGGCTTTGCAGCAGACTTGTTACAACTTCTCACAATATTCCTAGACATATCAGCTCACCCACCTGCTCACTGAATCTGTTATAGAATTCTGCCATATTTTTGAGACATTTTTATCTACAGTGCTGTACTGATTTCTCTCCAGTAGAGTTTCTCATCCTTTTGCTTTCTGTATTTCATCATACATTCTACTAGTTGCCTTGGTACAGACCTCAAACACTTCAGTCTGATTTTTTTCATATAATTTCCAGACATGATTTTGCAATCTTCTGTTATTAGCACTGGGCCTGGATTTTACTCAGTGATCGTTATGTCAGAGAGGCTGAAGGTACCAGTCTATAACATTTCAGAAATACAATCAGATATGATATATGCAAGATGCTTGTTTCACTAGACTAATGCTTGATGGTTTATTTCCTTTGGCTATCTCAGTTGTCAGTTCTGTTTCATGAATTATTGTTACATCAAATGCCACTGTAGCCAACAACTCACACACTGCACCTGCCTCTCAATATGATATTAACAAAGAAAAAATCTCAATATGATATTAACAAAGAAAAAAAAGTATAATAAATTCAAATTAGAATTTTCTGTGTTTATTTAGTATCAGCAATATTTTGCATCAAAACCTTTGGTTCATGAACAGACAGGAGATAACATTAAAACAAGAGCATTTCCAGGAGGTTGGAATGCAACTTTTTAGAAGAAAGTACGTTACGTGGGATTGTCTTTAAATATTGCCATAACAAAGTTCAAAAGCTTTGCATAAATTCAGTTAATCTTCCTTAAATAACTTTGCCATTCTAGGTGTTTGATAAAAACACCTACGACATGTCAAATGCTTACTGTAAATGCACAACCAACTTTTCAGCTGTAGATAATACAGATTTTAATTGTAGTTAGGAGAGTTCTTAAGTACATTTCTTCAAAACTATGATTAATATTTTATTTTCATGGAATTTTTCTACATTTGTGTATTTGGCACTTACAGGTAGCAAATATCCAAAGTGAGTAGCTGCATCTGCTTCAGTTAATTTTAGCAGGAATAAGGCTAGGTCCTGAAATTTCAAGGCATCAATCTCTGATTTTAGGTAAAACTTGAAAATGTTAGTCCTCACAGTTTTGGGGACAAGACTGAAGAATGCTTGTCGAATCTGTAGTCTTCTCAATATCAGGACCCAAGTTTTTCTTAGGGAAGAATTATGAAACTTTCAGCCTGCTGCTGTCAACATTTGCAAATTACACTCTGACCCTCTTAATTTGATTAATTAACAAGGGATTATGAGTTGTCTTCGTGATGTTTGACAACTAATTCTGGAGAATGTTTTTCTTTAAATAGTAGGAAGACTTGTGGAGTGCAAAAGAGAATGTACATGTCCTTAGAGGGGTCTCTGAAGTTGTTGTCCTGTTCTTTGGAAGTAACTCCTGTTATGACATCTTCCATAAGCAGCATAGATTTCTACAAAGAAAACTGTTTTACGAAGACCAACAACAACTATAAATACAGAAGCCAATTGTTTGTTTATTTTATATCAACAGATACTTGCTAAACTTTCAAATTTCAGATTTATCTTGTAGTATCTTGTTTTAAACTTACTTGGTCTTGTCTAAATTATTTTTGCAATTATTTTGTTCAAATTTTCTTCAGACCTTTCATCTTCAGATGAAAGTTTTGAAATTCAGGTTTGATACAGAATCTATCATCACCATACTTACATCTTTCTGTTTGCCTTTATTGTCTGGCCTGGAACACAGCTTATATATCTATATGACATAATTTACATTTAATTCTGTTGATAAAGACCACTGTATTTGATTTTTCATGAAAGTTCATGAGTTTTTAGTGTTTGATCTCCAGCTGTGACAGCTATGCTTATTCACTAAATACAATTCACATATGAAGACAAATTTTCAATGCACCTGCTAAACATTGTTCATTAATGTTCAACTACTGCTGAACATTTCTCCATTTATAATATTTCTCATTTATTTTTAACTTGTTTGTTTAAGAAAATACTGGTAATAAACTGATCTTGCTGATAAATGGTCTGATGATAAATGAACAGAACAGCTACATTTTACTGTGAATTTGTTATCAACTAATAACTTGAAAGGTGGTAAAAAAAAATAACTAGAAAGGGATTTCCCAGACATTCTTGCTATGGCAAATAACTAGGCATTTCCCATCACTGTGCTGTCAAAGAATATAATGTTTTGAACTACAAATAGGTTAATTGTATTTTGACATTTGATATATTATGTGGACTCAAACAAAAACTTAAAACTTTACAAACCACATCTACCAGCTTCAGAAAATCTCACCCGACTTCTGTTTTACTCGGAAAAGAATGCACTAAAGTTACTTTTTTTTTAAGTCCATGTGATATGTACAAGTAAGCCCAGAAGATGTCAGAAAATAAAGAGATGGAGTCTTTTGGAAAATAGTAAATTCAAAAGCCATGGAGGATTTAAAGAAAACTAGGAATTTCAGCCAAAGACCAGTTAGGGTTTTTTTGTAGACTTGTAAAACAGTAAATGCTGCTTTGCTTTTCTTGTTCTTGGATACCTTGAAAGCATTTAGTGGATTACTTCCCTGGTGGGAAAGAGGGGGGAGCCATCACAGTAGGTTTTTGAAAAGTAGAAAAAGATGGGAGTTTTGGAGTATTTTTAACAAATTACACACAGTTAAAGAAGGGAAGAATATTCTGTAGAAGTTATAAACACAGTATACATCATGGCTGATATACTTTCTGGGTAAAATAGAGAACCTCTTTTTTTTACATTTTCTGAGGGCTCAAAGCTGTACAGATCAGAATTTAGTGTTGTAACCTACACCTATACCAGAAGTTCCATGAAATCTAGTGGTGTGAACAAGTATTGTGACAACCTATCCATAAAAAAATTGGTAAATCTTCTTGTGAGTGTTCTGGTAAAGTGTGGTTAGGCAAAATGAATCAGTAACGTATGTCTTTTGACTGTGACAGTATAGTGACTGAGGTTCTACAAAATTTGTGAGACTTAATTATGTCATCATTCCTGTGAATGCATATTTATTGAACTAAATGACATATAATTGCATAAATAACAGTACTTACATACATATATTTTTAAATTGAATACTGAGAGTACTGAAATGCTGAAAGCTTTAAAGTAACGCTTCTGACCACCACAAATAGAAAGATCTTCTCTCCTGCGTTCACCTAGAAGACTATCATGCTTTAACACAGCAAATCTTTCCCTCAGTGATGAACACTGACCAATCAAGAAAAAAGAACTTATCATCTTAAAATAATTAAACATGTAATGAGATAAAGCATGAGATATTTCTTACTTTCTCTGTGTCTCTGAGTCCACTAAATATACTAAAATTTTACTAAATATTAAGTCCCACCTTCTTGTTAGCTAGAACTAGCTGTGAACTTAGTATTTTTCATCCGAAATACTATGTTTTTGAAAGAAAACCCCAAACATTTTTTTAGAACTTACTCTCTGTTCTATCTTCCAATCTCACTTCATTTGCTGACTTTTCTTATAGTAGGATTTTTGCTTGTGTGAAGACCATTTACACAAACATTGCCCCATGCTAACTGTAATTCACTTATGTAGTTTCCCTGTCATTGAAATGAAGGTGAAAAATCAAAGGAACCTATTATAAATCAAAGCTCTTGGAAATACATTTCTGTTGTTGGATAAAATGAGCTGACTTGTTTGAGTTTCTATAAAAGTCAGCATTGGTAAATAACATACAAACCACTGCTTTAGATTTTCATGTCCCTTGGATTGACTTGAAAATATTTTGAAAAATTGGTAGAGTTAATTAAAAAGAACTTACTTTGTTTCTCTTTTGCATTCAAGGGATGTTTTTTCTGAGTCTGGGTTAATGGGGTCTGCTGTGCTAACATGAAATACTGACAGAAAGCCCAGAAAATATCTTTGCAAATTGTCACCAGGATCTATCCAAACAGTATGATAAATGTCAAGTGTCAATAAAAAAATAAAAGATTCTGTCATATAGAGACAGATACTGAGCTGATGAGATTCATGTTATTTTATATGCCATATACAGGCAGGCTTGGGTGCGAGTGGTTATTGTAGATACTTAAAATGGCCAGAAATTCTGGCTAGCTGCTCTTTGTATTTTAGTCTAGCCACTGTTCATTTTTAAGGATAATAGAATAGAATTTCAAACTTCCTGTCTAAATTTGACAGTTCAGAGTTAGCTTGAAAGAGTGGAGCAGCTCTTTAGTCCTGCTTTGAGTGTACTCAAACCCTTTTAGATGTCTTTGCAGGTTTAGGTTTGTCCCTTCTCTTCTGTTGCAAGATTCATTTTTTTCTTCACTTGGAGTAAACTCTGGCATCAGTCTCACTTACTTCCACTGTAAAACATGTCTGACAACTGAACTTACACATCCAAACAAATTTCACACATTTTAGGTGGAGCTTGCTGGCCTTCTGTGACCTGCAGTTTAGGAGGCAGGTTTTGGTGGTGCTCTATCTGCACAGAGTAGGACTGAGAAATTGAAAAATCAGGCTTCATTTCATATTTATAACTTTTCTGCCTAGCAGCAGTGATGGAAAAAGGTCCTTTGCAGATCAGATTTTTAGGTAGATTGGTTGTCTTGCAAAGTGAGGTGTTGTCTTTTAGAACTTACTCTTTTTTTCCAGTAAGACTGCCTGCAAGATGCTCCGATGTGTGTTACTTGTATAGGGTCCATAAATTCAATGAATGCTTTGGATTGGAAAGAGCCTTCAAAGATCATCTAGTCCAACTCCCCTCCTATGTACAGATAGATGAGTACTATGAATAATAACTCTTTTTCTCTCCCCATACTAAAGCTAATATCTGTAAGTTCTGTTTATTCCAAATTTTAAAAAAAAGACTATTATGAAGAGAGATTGCCTTATAAAATATGAATTATTATAAATGTAATTAAAATTCATGCAAATTCTGTCATACCTTGAGAACTTACCAAATTTCCCTCTGTATTGGATCATACGCTGGGCAGTGTTTATCCAACTGTGGAGCTAAATGTCTCCAGTGAACACTCATATCTGTTTCCCTGCGCAGTTTGTAGGATGTTCTCTGAACCTTTTGTGAACAGTCTGTTATGACCCACCTCAGAAAAAAGAGGGGGGGTGTAGCAGTTTGAGCCACATTGGAAATCCAAAATCTAATTTCTAGGCCTCCCCCCACCCCTTCCAACAATTTATCCCAACACTGGAGAGAAACTTTCATTCTGGATGCTTCTATACGGACAGTGGGAAGTATATACATTTATTTACAGAAATAAATACTATACAAACTAAAGGCAACTATATATATATATTACATTTCTATCAGTCCTTTTAAGCCCCTCCCTTTAACTTTAGTCCAGGAAGAGCCTTTCAAGGCTGCTGGGTAACGCAGTCTCTCTCTCGTGGGAGTGTTCTGGGCCCCTGAACACTCCCTAACCAACCTTCAGCTGTTTTGTTGCAGTTTTTCCTCCTCACGAAGTCCAAGAAAGTAGCTTTGAGTCCTTTCTCCTCGGTCTGCTGTGTGATCTCTCAGTCTCATACCTCGGTTCGTAGGCTGCTGCAGTGTTGTTTAGCTTATCAATGTACGCGTCCTGGAATGTTGATTCCTCCTCCGGGTTTTCGGCTGTCCTGCGTTTAAATCACGGCAGAGACATCCTCTGGGCCTCTCTCTTCAGTCTGTCTCCGATTTCGCCTGGGATTCCTTTCCCTGGCTCCAAGCTGTTTCATCAGCAGCCCGTCCACTTGGCTCTGCTTCAATGCTGAGCCTTAAAATCCACCCCCCACCAGCCTCAATGCAGTGGGGGGGAAAAAGAGTCCCCTAGCCTTGGCCACAGGCAGCTTGGTCCAGTTATACACTGTCCCAAGCGTCCCGCAGCTGCAAGGGGGGGAAGAGGGCGTAGCCTCCTCCCTCTTACCTCAGGTGCTGTGAATCTCTTCCTTCACAGCACACACTCCAAATGCTGTCTCTAACTCTGGCCTAGGCAGAGCTGGGGGGCCGCAGGGCTCCCCACCCCACCCCCCGGAGGGGGGAAAGAAGGAGCCCAGCCACCCCCTGGCCTTCTCCACCTGCACACAGCAGACACCAACAGAAACACTGCCAACAGTTTCCAGTGCTGTGTATTTGTGATTTTGAGCAGAAGCGAACAAGATGAGCAGTGATTGGCTCTCCGGGGAACACTGCCCTGGCACACAATCACCTCTGAGCACCCGAACTCTCAGGAGGGCCAAATGACAGGGGGGTAACCCAGGTTCTTATCAATAATTCCCTTGGGGTGGATTAGAGTGAAACGACACTGAATAATCAGTGTTTGAAAACATATATAGGTAGGGTTCATTTTAACAATTTTGTTTCAACAGGTAAGTTAGCATTTTGGGTGTTAGCATCTGTATCTTCTATAGCAATATGGCATAGGGATAACCTCTGGGGGGGAAAATGCATAAGGGAGAGAGAGGAAGGACAGGATAAGGGTAAGGGAGAGTAAGAGAAAGAAAAGATGAGAGTGGAAAGATGTGTATAGTCACCACCCCCGGGGTCCAGCGATGATACTTGGTAGTTGCCACTTCCATGCCTGTCAGTTGAAGTGGTGGCCTTGATCTGCTGGGGGTGAAGGAGGGAAGCCCCCACACTCCAAGAAATTATGAGTTATTATATCCATGGTTAGTGTCACAGGCCATGCCTCAAGCCTCCAACCTCTCCTGGGCCTGCGCAGAGTTTCTGTCTGTGGCCTGCTTCCCGCCTTTCAAGATTGGCAGAGGGGGGGATGGGCTTTGATGGGCCATCAGTGGTATAATGCAAAAGTCCTGCAGAAGCCTGCAGAAGTCCCTTGGCAATCCTAGAATGCATAAATCATTAACCATTTCAGTCTCTGACACAGTCTGAAAAAAAGCCCTTTGGTTTGAGCTTTCTCCACCATATTGGCATATCTGCCTGTGCTCTGACTCACTCAAAACTGTGATGTTGACTGATTATCACTTGCTTTAGCTTCTCAGGTACGAGTCATGTCAAAATAAATTTTCATTATGAAAATCAGAACAGTTTGACTTTCATGATGAAAAAAGGATACATACTTCAATAATGATGAACCACTTTAGACTGTACTTCACTTTACTTTTCATATTTGTTTACTAGTGAGGATCGAGTATATTTTACTTGAGTAGACTGGAAGCGAGTCTAAGGACACAATGACTGCCACATTGGGTAAGCAAAGAGAGAAGTGTAATGATTTTATGTTCAGAAAATAAACAACATCAGACTTTTCAAGCTATGTATGAAAAAAAATACTCTGAAAACAATACAGAAATCTGAGAAGAGCAAGGGAAATGTAACCTACCAGCCCCATCTTCTCATGAAAAGAAATCAATGTCATTCACAAAAGAAATCAAAAGAGTTACATAACTTTACAAATCATGTTATCCAAAAATCCAAAATGCCAAAAAAACGCTTTGAATCTTTCAATATAGAAGGTACATGCAGCGTTTAACTGAATATTCAAGCTCACAGAAGATCATTATGGGTTGGATATGGCCATTTTCATATTAATAAACATCTTTCCTGATTGGAGGAGATACTTGAAGGTAACCAGGTCAGCCTTTTGGAGTTGTTCAGATAACTTTCAGTATTTATTTTCTTCTGTAAGGAAAACATTGGAGGTGGTGACTATGGTAATCCAGGACTTATTCTGGGAGATCAGATGGATGTTATTAACCAAGTAAAGAAGGATTTTGTCAAAAAGAGGGGTAACAAAGACGGATTGCTTAGGGTGATGCTGGCTTGTAATTCCAAGATTAAGAGAAATGTTGTATGAGTATGTTTCTCATTGCTTCTTCCTGCTGAAAGGTAAGAGTGACAACTGGGGAAACTTCATACAGCTTTAGTTGTCTTTTGGTTTCTTCCTTCATATTTCTTAGGAAAAACAGAGAGAAAGTAAAAATATTCAGAATTTCCTTTTTGACCCCTAATGATGCCTCTGTAGAAACAGACCTAAATCTTTTCAAGAGGACCTTCTGATCATAGAAGCATAGAATCTTATAATAGTTTGTGTTGGAAGGGCCCCCTAAAAGTCATCTGGTTCAATACCACTGCAATGAGCAGGGACATCTTTAACAATATCAAGTTGCTTAGATCACCATTCAGACTGATCTTGAATGTTTCCAGGGATGGGGCATCCACCACCTCTCTGGGGAACCTATTACAGCATTTTACCAGCTTCTTTGTAAAAAAACTTCCTTATATTTAATATAATAAACCCCCTTTCAGTTTAAAACCACTCCCCTTTCCTATTGCATCAGGCTCTGCTAAAACATTTATCTTCATCTCTCGTATAAGTATCCTCTAAGTACTGAAAGGTTGTAATATTTGTGCCCATGCCCTTCTCTTCTCTAGGCTGAACAGCTCCAACTCTCTCAGCCTTTCCTTATAGCAGAGGTGTTTCAGCCCTCTGATCACCTTCATGGCCCTCCTCTGGACTCGCTCCAAGAGGTCCACATCCATCTGTTAAGATCCGATTATTGGAAGATACCTCTGCTGGAGTTAAGGAACAAATGAGACCATATGCCAAAGTTAATAGTACAGATTTTCTTTAACAGTAAAATGTAAGATAGAGAGATACAAAGAAATAGAAAAAAGAGACAGAAACAAAGAGAGAGACAGACAGATTAAGCAGAAGACAGTGACCACCTGTGGATCCTGCAGCATCCTGTTGGTCCATCTTCACGCTAGACTTCTTGGTTCTGAAGATGTCCAGAACTTTTCACTATGCATTTTTGCCAATGAAGGAGTTAGTGCTCATTGGCTACACAGTTCTCTTATTCTATTGGTGAAATTATTCTCTCACTTCTAATACATTAGTCTGTATGCTCAGTCTTTCTCCTCTTTTGGGTCAGTGGATTTCTTGAATCGGTGGGATGGGAGTTGGTGGTCACCATCTCCTCCTGCCAGAATTACTTTTCATCCAGTGGAAGCTGATTTCGGCACAGTTGCTGAGTTGGCTTTCCTTGTGGCTCATAAATTCTGCATTCTTTGTAATTCCCCTCCCCCAGCTTTGTTAACCTCTCCCTAGGTCTGAGCTAATACTTGGACTATAGTACCACCTTTATCTTATCTCAAGTTCCCTCATGGTGGCTTAACTTACAGTCCAAGTTCCAGGTACCCATAGAAGTGTATTTGGGGGCAAGAGGGCTTTGGTGGTCGCAGATGCCATCTGTCCCATAGCTTGGGGTGATCTTTGTTTGACCATTGATATGCATACGAGCAATTGCTTCTTTACAAAGTTTGCCACAGTGGTAATTTTTGTCTAGATTCATTAACCAGGATGTGCTAACCAGATCTCACCTCCGCCTGGATTTAGTGCCATTCTGTTGCTCCATCCAGTGTTTATCTCATGGCAAACTGCTTCTGCGGCCTTAGCAATGTTCGAGACAGAAAACTGTGCTCTTTAAGTCCTTACACCTTCTTGTGCTAGTGTCCACCCCAGAGCTGGACACAGTACTGCAGGTGAATTCTCACCAGAGTGGAGTAGAAGGGCAGAATCACCTCCCTCGATCTGCTGGCCATGCTGCTTTTGATATAGCCCAGACATAACTGGCTTTCTGGCCTGCCAGTTCACATCCCCAACTCCTGTCCAGCCTCTCATCATGATCATCCTGTTCTGGAAGAATCTCAGAGAACACCATAACATTTGCTTTCACACAGTCAAGCAGGAAGTGCATAACAGAAGCATATATGTTGGGCTTCACCTTCTACTGTGCATTCACTCCCTGGGAGCAGATAGAACAAGTCCAAAGTTAAACCCTTCTAAAAGTATTGTGGACCCTCACTACCAACTGTTTCATTCTACTCATCTCTTATGGACTCACATTTGCTACTGTAGACATTGACTTAATCAGCTGCACAAATTTCAAGAGTCATAGTAAAACAAGTTACTTAGAAATAGTAATAAAAATAATAATATAATATTTGTTTCTTATACAAGCATGATATAACTAGAAATAATAAAACTTATACTAAAAAAAAATAATTCACAAATGTTTTTAAAAGAAATGTTGATTCCATTCTCTTCTTCCTTCTGATTTTCCTCATTCAGAGGTCTCTGTAAATTCTTCCAGGATACAGATTTTTTCAACTTTTGGACCATGCAGAAAAGCAATACAGACTTCTGGATACATTGAGATTACAAGGAAAAATGGGACTTTTTCAGCTCTATCAGAACAGTGCATGCTGCCCATCTACCTACCATTGAAAGTCATTAAAATCTGGAGGTCTTGACCCAGCAAGCATAAAACTAGTAACTTGGTGATATTCTAATGATTATGGAATTGATTTTCCTTCTTTTTTTTTCTTTTTTTTTTTGTTTTTAAATAATGAAATCTGGTATGCTCTGCAATCACCTTCCATGGAAAGTATGGGTACATGTTCTGAAAATCAGGTATTAGGTGTATCTTTGATGGCAAGAATCCTGCCCAATCATCTTATTTTGCAGCTATTCTGTCAGAAACCAAGAACTGTCTACAAGAGCTTTGATGATTCACCTTCCAGTCACCAGTAGGGCAGTAGAAATGCTTATGCTTGTGTTGCCTGTATTTCGCTTCTGACAACTGGAGCTGGAGATCACTCTTAAAACTTGTCATGCTTTTTCTTTTCCATGAAAAAGCAAAGCTTTTTCAAGGTCTGGCTCCCTTTTTCCACTCTTTGTTATTGGAGATGGTGTCAGTCTATGTTTAGCTTTATCCAATTAAGTTTGGCCATTGAGATATCTGATTGAAAATAATATGACAATGTAAAGATAACTGATCATAAAAAGTACATGAGGCATTTTGCCACTCATTGATTTTCAGATCTCTAATACTTGGAAGACTTTTGGGGTCCCCTCTGGAACACTTCCCACAGTGCATTTCTTGGGAATGAGCTATTTCTCTTAAAAGAGC